GTTTTTGCTCAGTTTCTTCTTCTTCCGTTCTTCCAAACAAATAAAGTTAATGACCTGGACCAGTCATCTGTCACCATGGTAACTGGTGCTGTAGCACACACTGTGATGTTAGATTATGTTGCAAGTTGTAAGACAGTTGGAGAGGCTGGTCACGCTAATAATTATGAGTACATGTTCCCAAATCATATCCAATTGCTTGAGTAACTGCTTTTTGGCGTATGAGTATATGTGTTTCTTCGGACAACGAAGCCAAGCCAAGAAGAAGATATGTGTTTGTGTAAGAATAAACAGAGCATTAATTTGTTAAGCTACATGTAGACCATATATGAAGGACTAAAGCATTATGCAATTACTTAGACATTTGTTTACTGCTGTTTGTTTATATTTGTTGTTGTTGTTTACCCCAGATGTGCCCGACCCCCCCGCTGGCAAACCGCGCGTCACAAACGTCACCTGTGATTCGCTGACGCTCTCGTGGCAGGAAGTGCGACGGAAACCCGCAGCGGGAATTACAGCTTACATCGTGGAGATATGGAAAGCAAGTGAAAGGTGAGATAGTCCTGTCCTAATTCATAACATGAGTTGGAGGAAGATCACTAGAAAGCTTTAAACAACTCCTGCAAAGTGCAAAAATGTACAAATATTGAGTGTAATAAGTCGTTCGGTGTGATATAGCTAGCTGCCGCCGTGCCGCGTGTCTGTGAAGCTGGTGTGTTACGCCGAAGACCAGCATGCACGTTGGCAGAACATATTGCACCTCTGCAAAACCAGTAATGTATTGTGCATAGCACTTTGGCTGAACGTTTCATAGAAAGATTTTCACATATATATAAGGCCACACCAATTTAATTTGTTGGTTCTCGGATTCGCCTCTTCATTTTTTTCTGATTTGCAAAAAAACAAAAAAAGATTCTGGTTCTGAATAAACTCAAAAATGCTCATATATTGCCCCCAACAGTTGAGGAAATTCCTTTTCTTCCTAGTTGTTACAGTTTGCCCATCTATCATTGCAGTGGTTTGATTAAAAGTTTAAAATTTATACTTTAAATTTTGACCCAGCCTTTTCTGTTGACTTCATGGCTCATACATTGTATCATAGCATTTGGGGCTATAATAGGATGCCTAGACCTGTTTTTATTTTTATTTTTTTTTCGCCCTGTCGCTTCATATTTTTTCTGAAAAAATCCGAGAACCAACAAATTAAATTGGTGTGGCCTAAGGGCATCAACCAGTCAGCAGTTTCCAAGTGTTATCTCTGCAAAAGATATCCTCTGCAACAGGCAAAATTCTGATGCAACGTTGACCAAACATCCAACAGAAATCGTGAAAAAACAGGTTTTCGCGCAGGTGCAGTATGTTCTGCCGACATGTTGCCTCTACCAGGCTTCAGAAGCAGCTGGAAAGAAATTGGCCATGTGACATTCATGACAGTCATCCACAAAGTTGACTTCTTGTGGCCTACTCAGGCCTGTGCATTTAGCCCCATTAAATAACTATTCTAGTGGCAGGGTGGGACTTAGTTATAAACTGGGAGGATCGTTTTGTATGATTGCAGCAGGGGCAGTTTAACACACGAGATCGATGCACTAATCACTCCATGATTGCCCTGTGTTTCAAGTATAATTACAGCTAGGGAAGCACTTTGGCAGAACGTACTGCGCCTGCGCAAAACTTATCATGTATATAGCACTTCGGCAGAATATCTCATATAAGGTTGTATTAAATGTGTTAATATAAGGTTAACACTCTGTAGTTTCCAAATGTTACGTTGTAAAAGATATCCTCTGCAACAGGCAAAATTCTAATGCAACGTTGACCAAAAATCCAATGAAATCATGAAAAATGGCAGGCGCAGTACATTCTGCCGATGTGCTAGCTAAGGAAGGGGACAACACCAAATCTATTCCTAATGGGTGCATGTGTTTTCCAAGAACTTATAATAATAATAAATAAATAATAATGAAAGACCTTTATTGTACGCTTGTGCTCTAACGAGCTAAGTACAGGTCATGGGTAGACAGGGAAAAGAAAACAGTAATTATGACACTTACATACTATGTAAGCTAATGTGTTCTACTATTTACAGGTTCAGCTTCTTCTCGCTTCTTTACGCAGTTAAAGATGTACGAACATATTGAGCTAATTATACATGGTTTGTCAAGTTTCATGAGGAATTCGAATTTTTCTATTCTATCTAAATGTCTAAAGCTTGGGAACTTATCTATTACATAAGTATAGAGGGATATTGTAGACTGGAACTCGTTGCCACCAAGCACAGTTTGGGCATCATTACTAGAAAGCTTTAAACAACTCTCCTGCATTACTAAATGTGTAAAGATTGGGTGTAGCAGCAATGACGTCTCTATTTCTATTCGTGATCTTGGTAGGAGTATTCATTTCCCAAATTGCGCAAGACGGGGTCTAAAAATACTGCTGGTGCCTGGTATAACCCCAGGCAGCTGTCAGTGTGGTAAATTACCCGGGAACAAGGCTGGGGTTACGGAGACACTGACACGCAGGGGAGTATTTAGGGCACCAAACATTTATGGGACTAAAAGTTTAACTGTACGTTCCAAAATACAAAATTGGACACACAATTGTGCAGCTCCAGAGTTCATAGTACTGTACAGTTGTAGAGTTCAAGCTTTGTTCTCACACAATAAAGGAATTCTACAACAGTTCTACAACTATTCTATTCTATCGCTCAGGACAAGACTGGGGTTACGCAGGCACTGACACTGTGGAGTATTTAGAGCAGCAAACGTTTATGGGACTAAAAGTAGAAATTGAAGCAAAGTTGAACAGTTACTGTTACAATA